AGACAACCAAGCACACTCACATTCACACCTACGGACAATTTAGAATCACCAATTAACCTCAACATGTTTTTGGACTGTGTGGGAGGAAGCCGGAGAACCTGGAGAGAACCCACGCTGCACGGGGAGAACATGGAGACTCCACGCAGAAATATCCTGGGTGTCCTCACTGGATCGCGAACCAGGGATCTTCTAGCTGCGAGGCCACGGTGCTAACCACCAACCCACATGCAGCCCTGTCTTTAAACTACAAAAAAAATCTGAAAAATGCCGTCTATAACACATAACTCAAACTTGCACCAGCAGATGTTTGGCTTTTTTTTTACCTTAAAACATTTTAGTGTTTGGCTGGAATACGTGACTTGCACATCTGCCCCCCTTAAAATTGCCGCGTTTGATCCAAATCAGCAGGTTGCTGAGGTACTCTCACAGCATCAGTGGCGTTAAGGGGCTCGTAAACGTATGACATCAGGAAAGACGTCTGTTTTGTGTTGAGAAATGCTGCTTTCAAGGCTGTGACTGTCTTTCAGTGAGTTGTCTCCTCTGTCTCTGTCTAGAATTGGTACAGCCGGGATAGCGGTGCAGGTGGTGGGCAGCAACTGGCCGAAGCCTCACTACACCCTCCTCATCACCGGACTGTGCCGCTTCAGCGTTTCAAGTCTGCTGAAGGAGCGACCGTTCATCCTGGCAGAGGTAAAAGGTTTTCCTGTTGGACTGTTTTTTTTATGCACTCTGGTTGAAAAATTCAAGTTTGCCACTTTGTCCTGCCACACCAACCAAAAGCTGCTTATAATGACAGTAAACGCAATATTTAAGGTATTGCTTTAAGCCATTCAGGAGTCGTATTTTTATTTACTGATACCCTGTTTTACCCGGTTTTTAATACCTCCCAATGTCATCTCCCTGTCCACTCTTTTGCATTCTTTGGTCTTAGCATATGATCTGATAAGGGAAAACACGTGTTAATGCAAAGTCTCAAGTATGCAGAATGCACTGGGATCACAGCCCAAACCGAGGAGTCAGCCCACGTTTGGAAATGGCCAAGATTCACACTGTGATCGTATTTTAGCCAGGTGGAAATGCAACGTGTGCAGCGTGACCGCGTTCCGAAGACTAGCAGGGAACTCGGGAGGCAAATCCGGCTTGTTGTCCAGTTTTAATTTCTCCAAAGAAAATCCAGCCTCACCTCTTCATCAAGTGTCATGAAATTCAGCATTGGGGTTTTTTTTGCAGACAGATGCACAAACAACAGCCTCAATGTTCGCCTTAGTGGAGGAAAGGTGCATCAGTCCCACAAGCTGAAAGTTCAACAAACCTCTTTTTGCGAACTCAGGCAAACCCAGCAAAGGCTACAAGTAGAAGAAGCAATATTAGCTCTACAATGGAAAACAATCCATGCCAAGTGTTTCCCTTGACCCAGGACACACTGTATACTTTGACAAACCAGCAAGGCCTGCCTCACTAATTTGGATACTGACACATTTTAATACAAATTACAATCCAAGGTCTCAGTGGGACCCAAGGAAGTAAGAGAGCTGAAATATATTCTGAAGACGGTTTGAAAACCTGATTGGTTCTGATGTAAAAACGAACAACAGTAAGCTTTGTAAAAAAAGAACAGTGTTAGTCATCCAGTGGAAGTCTGTAAACCGACGACTGTAACTGATACCACTCAGTACTTTATTGTGTTTTAATGAGTCTTCTTGTGAACAAACCACCTTCAGTGGCACACACCAGCATGCATCATCCTTGAAGCCTTCAAATGAGCTGAATACATTTATTTGTTGCTGTTTTTGGGCTTTACTGCTGCTGCTACCTGTCAAAGTGAAACCAGTCGCGGGATTGTGTTGCACTTTCTTGACTCGTTGTTTGGTTTCAGTTTGGCATCTGAAAATGGTCTTGTTTTGTCTACAACCCAATAATATTCAGGTTGTTGTCACAGAGAAGTGAAGACAGCTTAAAATAACTAAATTAAGAACTTGGAATCGGAGAATTAAATTTTTTTTCCTTAAAAAAATCACTCAAACCGTCACTTGATTATCAAAACAGTAAGTAATCAACTTAATAGGTGACAACTAATCAATTAATTGTTACATTCTGCGTGGGGTCACTCAAGGAGAGAAGCACCACTGGACTTCTTTCATCTTCTAATGTTGATATTATGCTGATTTTGGGAGCTTAATTTTTTAATGTCTTCCGTATAGAACCAAAAGCGCCTGTTGCTCAGTATTTCACAAAAACAAATCCAAATACACAAAAGTCTGTGACGCCACTGTGTGACTCTCTTATTGTAAAAAAATAAATAAATATTGCAGGTGGAGCAGTTGGATAAACTGGAGCAGTACACGACTCCAGCAACAAATGATGCCTCGGCAGAAGACGGGGAGTTGGGGGAGCTGTCCCAGAAGTTCTACCAGGCTGCTGTACAGGTGTGTGACAGACAGGTGGCACAAATACATATAATATACTGCATCTCCTGATGGGTGGGTTGAAGGATTTGGCTTAGTAGAGAGGAAAAAATACATGTCTCTAAAACATTTCTTGATTTACAGACTAATGTCATTTTAGAGGTAGGTAGGAAGATGATTAACAAGCATATTAACCCTAAAGTAGGTAAAAATGTAATAACTGCATGACAGTAATGAAATAAAAACATCTAGGGAGAAGCAGCAGGTTATTGTCATTCACTAAATGAATTCATTTGTATTTGGCCACATTAAACATTTTATGCAGTTGGTTTTTGAATGGGAAAGCAGCATTAAAATGTATTCATCATCACATTTTAATGCATTGCTGTGTTTCATTTCATGAACTTAAAGACAGAACGACCAACAGTGATTGTGTAAAGCGAAGGAATCTGAGCACCCTACTACATCAGCACCCCCATTTCAACAGATAATCATAGCTTGCAAACTGTTTATCAGCCTGCTCAGAGCCTTCCTGTTCTTGATTTAGGAATTTTCAACCACTTTTCCTGCAGATCATTTGAAGTTCTGAGATATTTCAGGCTGCCGTGCCTATACATCATATTTAAGATGTCCCTTGTGCTACAGACATCCCCAAAGCAGAATATTTTAACCCCAAAGCTTCACAGCTGGCAGTGTGTTCTTTTCCCCACACGCTCCCTTTTCTTCTCTCGACATACCTGCAGTGATTAAGGCCAAACTTCTCCATTTCGTAATTTTTCAACAGCATGTGTTTACAAAATTGGTCTGTCTAACCCAGATGTTGCTTGAAGCTCTTCAGATGTTGACTTTTGTAATGAGGCTACAAGTGAAGCTTCTGTCTGATGGTCTTCCAGAACCTGCTGGTGTTTAAAACCAGGCTGAAGGCTTGAGTGCAACAGTGCACCACCACCACCACCACCACCACCACTGAGTCTTTCTGCAGCTCTTTTGCAGTCACGTGTTTTTTTTTTTTTTTTTGCCTTTGTGCCCAGCAAGAGTTAATGATCTTTGTCTTGACTTCCAAAGTTCCTCTGGACTGCCATTTCTTCATGACTTATTTGGCGAATGCAAGCACGAAGCTTTGATGCACCAGCCGTCCCCTGCTTTGTGCTCATTAATCATCTTCATTTTTCACATCTTCAGTGTGTTACTTGAGTGTTACAACAAGATTTGATAAGTTTTGATCTGCCTTAAGAGTCCCCATTAAAGCCTAAATAATCAATGAAATTCTAAGACTTTACCAGTGAAATGGAGTTCCCGGATTCAAATTTTCTCTATTTTTTCAGTTCCTAAAAATTAAAAGTGCATTTCATAGAAGAAGAAGAATATTTATTCTGAGGTCGTTTTGCTGCATGGTTTATATTTATGGTGCTTCTTTTTAACTTTGAAATCAACAAAATACGAACTAAAAGTTACAAGACTGCGTATAGAAGCTGTACTGGACTTAAATCTATGCACCATCCCTGTCAAAGTAGCCTCCTTGTGTAAGGATAGACGGCTCCTGGTGCTTCTGCAACGTTCGTAACGGTCCCTGGAAGCCCTGTTATGTAAACATGTCAAGCACCATCTGCAATGAGCACCAAATCTCAGTCAAAGCACTGACCCTTTAACTTCCAGTTTGGAGACTAAGGAGAACTCCCAAGAAGCCAAATCTAAAGAATAGGGCAGGTGGTGAGTAAAAATTGTGTTTGTTGTTGCCAAAAATCCTGTCGCAAAAACGCATGGGAGCACTTACACACCATTGTAGGATGGTTGTACCTCACGATGTTACAGTAGAGCTCCGTCTTGACATTCTAACTCTGGAGGATGGAATCATGATGCACAAACACATGAATCTTGAAGACACGCTTGCTCCTGTTTCGCTCCTCACCTGACGCACCTTGTCCAGTTTTGGAAGCTGCGGTTGTTCCGCTATGAAACCTGCTGTTTCTTCTCTTGATGGTAGCTGCAGACCCCCCTCTAGTCACCGGTAATGAGACTCGACATCCTCATTCTTGACAGCTATCGATCGCACATGCTGCACATGCGTTATATGGTCTGTGCACCAGGAACACTCTCAGAACCTTTCGGTCAACCCTTGGATGCAGTTTTCTATCTTCGATGAGAGTCCGCAACCGAAATGTCGCTAATAAATTAGTGCTATATATAAATCACTTCTGGGATTCTTACAATAGTTTCTCCAGCAACATTTAAACCTTTACATTCCCAATAAATGAGCTCACAGTTGAAGCCAGTGGAGTTCTGGTAAATTTATTAAGGGCGGTTAATAAACGGGACTAAATTGCATTTCTTTTAAGGCTTGATTCTACCACTTTATTCATATATTGTGACCATGAAGTTTCCATCCACTGGATATATTTGAGGGATAGACGTCTCTCTACAGTGACGCTGTAAAGACAGTGATTGATGCTACTGGTTGAGCTATGGGGGTTAAAAGCTACTGGTGGATATCGAATGTCAGCGTTCGACCTGCGACGCTGCTTCCACCCTGCAGTGCGTGAAGTTGTTCCTCAGCAGCCACGTCGGGTCGAGACTGATTGAGCTTCAGCTTTTTCCAGGAATTATTTGTATGTTTTGACACGTCTCCCCGTTATCTGATGAGCTCATTCCGACTGTTCGGATCGACTGTTTTGCCAATAGTCTGACACGTATTAATATAAAGAGTCCGTATTTGCAAAAGAGAGCGTAGTTCAACAACAAAGCGAATATGTAAATTAATTATGCACTAGTGGAGGTGTTGAGCAATTCAATTCATTTATCGCGTTATGACTATTGGCGCTGATAACAGATGTATTAGTAGGAGTATTTGCTTCTTTTTCTTATTTAGGATTATTTTCATGGTGAAAACTTCTAAATATTTACCGGTGATACACAGATGTGAGTTTTTCGGGCTTTAGTCAAGCGGAGTCACATACATGAATGAAAGAAATAAAAAGTACACATTGAAATTGCAAGTTCATTACGCATATATCAAGACAATCACAAAGCATTACTAGGAGGTAAAAACAGGAGTATTAAAAAACAGATAAAACAGAAACACAGACAGACAGCCAAAGTAAAACATATTGGCATATGGATAAAGACAAACATCAAAGTTACAGAGGATGCTAGAATTAAAGAGGGACAACCGACAACAGATTAATGCAAAATAAACACACAAAACACTGAGAGGAGACTCTGCAGCCTCAGCCTGAGTTAGAAGCAAAGTCAGATCGATGAGTCTTTTCTTTAAAAATTAAAACTTCTAGGGAATAACGTGAAAGAGAAGATCGTAGTGATGAACCTGCAGAGAACTCTCACCTGAATCTGCAGCTTCCCGGAGCGTTTTCGTGACTCTCGGCTCATTGTTCTGCTGCCTGTTGCTCAGCTTCGCTCTCACAGCATTGTTTTCTGCAGCAGGCATCTGTTTTTGATGAAAAATGTCTAAAAAGCAGCTGCTCAACACACACAGTTTAGAGACCTGGTGAATGTCAAGGAGAGCATGACGGATAAAGCACCGGGTACTTCTCTCAAATGGATAAAAACTGCAAAAAGAGAATAAACGTTATACTTTCGCCTACTGGACAGAACTCCAAGTACATTCAAATGTCAGCCCATATCTGCTTGATATGTAACCAAGCAAATGTTCCACATCAGTTTTCATATCTGCTTGTTCTCAGTGTTTCATGCAATACTTGTGTCTGTTGCCAGAAAAGTCATTATTGTAATTGGTTTAGCCATTTTCCAGCCTTGATTTAAGTGGTTCTGGAGTTTGACATGTTGCTTAAATTAACTGGAATAAACAGGAAAAACATGTAATGCAGACTGAATATTATCGTTATTGTAGTGCTACAATTGAAGTCAGTAGAGCGACTTTTTTAGGGCTCGAGCAAATAGTTTTAAAATATCAATGCTGATTCTTGTTATTTATGATCAAGGAGACGAGTAACTGATTTATATTTGCAGTAAAACAAGAAAATATTGGTGGCAAAATTTGAAGAAACACAAACTCCAGCACAAAACTTTGTTGAAATACCGTTATAGATTGATATTTTATAAATATTTAATCCTACAAGATTTCTAGGTTGCTATGGGACAATTCTCTGCCTGAGAAACGCAGCGATCTTGACGAAATGCCACAAGTTTAAACAAACATTTGATTCATTTTCTTGACAGAGCGACACGCACCACGGTGTTACTGTCAGGACCATGGGAAAGTTGAGTTTATTCCATTTTATTTCGGCATATTATTGCATTTTTGACTGACTTTTTTGCCCCGTAAATATTTTAATTCTGATTCAGTCATACACAGCACTGTGTAGGTTTGTTTTTAAATGATTTCTAACCCTTCATACGAGTACTGACGGAGCAAAGTTTATGTTTTTGTTTCCTCCTAATTTCAACAAAAGTTGAAGCTCTGGGATGTGAAATCTGCCTTTTTACGTTTTTATCATATTTTTTCAATAAAACCTGCCCACAGTGGAGCCCAAGAAGCCGCCTTACGGAGCAGTTTGGGTGTTGATTGCACAAATGGTATAAATCTTGTTGAACTCAGAAACTGACGACAAGTGTTGTTCATATACAACAGTCAGTCTCACCTAGAACAGATTATACAAACAGGCCTCAGAGAAAACGCTAAGAGAGATTACAGAATACAATAAGGTTGTTGCCTGAGGCCCGCCGTGGCAGCGTACGCGGAGTGGGCTGATAACCGGCTAATAAGCTGGCTGTCAGCCGCCCGTGACCTTTTACCTGCTCCTTCCTTCCTCCAGATGTTCTCAACACTTCAGACCGCAACCGCGTGGAAAGGTAGTGACTGCGGGTTGCAATAAATTTAAAGCAGATGTAAAATTGTTTTGCAAATTGTGTCCGGTGCCATCCAACCAGATCTGACTGTTGCGTTTGGTAACATCTGGTCCCGCGTTTCTCCACCACCTTCTCTTACCAAGTGGCACAACAGATCGATTTGACGAAATGTGGCGTCAAGCCTGTTGGTGCTCACAACAAAATTATTTCTACCTTTTGTGTGTGTGTTTTTTTATACCCCCAAGGAGATTAGCTCTTGATTTTTCAACCTGACTAAAGACCCCCCTCGGGGAGTGCTGAAGTGGCTTTAAGGTGAAAGAATTCCTTCGTGATAAATTACCATAAAAGCACTCTCACCAGGAAACACGTTTCCACAACACCGTAGCGCTACACTCCCTCTTGTTTTTGTAACCTTTCGACACTTGATAGATTTGAATCCCACACAATCCCTGCTCTGTGTGCATGCGTGCACACAAACATTTAGTGTAATGCACTTTCTAAATAAGCTAGATGAAAACATGAAGCTACAGCCAGCAGCCTATAATGATATAAAGACTGAACCAGCAGTTGTAGCGAGCTGAATTGTCATTTTTGCACTTTGTTTTTTCCACAAATTAAATAAATATCTCTGTCTTATATCATTACTTTCTACTCATGGCAGAGTCTGTGTATTATCACTGTTTTTTAACATATAGATATATGCAATATTGAATCTATACAGTATCTGAATGTCCACGTATGAAGGAATCTTCACACTAACAGCAGTACTTATGCATATTTCTTGTTTAGTTTTGTTTTTACACAGTGGCATTATCCTCATTGCTGCTGTTGCACTGCAAATTTCCGCTCTACAAGATTAATAAAGGATGATCTTATTTTATTTTAGTCTGACTGATACTGAATTATTGAGGCAGATGAAAAAAAAATCCAATATTAGTGTATCAGCTGATTATTAATATGTACATATGCTGCAAATATAACACAGATTTTATTTCAATGATGTCTCAAATTTGGCCATCAAACATATGTAATGAAAGCCAGATGTTTTGCAGCTGAACATGTTTGTAAATGTTCAATTAAGACACTTTTACTGTAAACTTTCAGGGGAAACTTTTAAAGTGTCTTTAAAATTTTTGTTTTTGCAAATGCATGAGTGGAATTGTTCGGTTTGGATGTCAAACTTTAAGTCCTGAACAGTTTAGACATATAACGTGAGCATTAGTTAGACTTCTGTTAACGTTATAATGTAGTTGGCTTCAATGCTAACACATTAGCTTCCATTCAAGTGACAAGCTATGGCAGTAGCTCGCTAAGTAATGGAGGTGCTCGGATGCTAAACGTTCAAGCTGCTGCGTTACCGACTTTACTGACAATCTGTAGTCAGCTTGCTAACTAGCTAACATAGCAATTAGATGCTGGTCAAGCAGTTATCAGGGACAGGATAATGGTCAAGTTTATATGTTAAAAAGGGGGAAATGATTCGGTTGTTCTCCATTACAGTAATCTATTTCACAAACTAGTTAGCAGCTTAGCGTAAAGACACCACTTGACTCCGCACCACTCTGCTGCATGTGCTGCTGACAGTTTTATGAACACGCTGTACCATTTTCCTGCCTCTTTTTCTGAAATTTGTTCTCTTAAAATAAGCTTTGGTATCGGTGAACACATATGCAGATACTGATATTTCTGTGTCTCAACTCAAAAGACCTGATTTCTGTACTCTGCATTTTGAGTTTATTGGTCAGGAAGTGTGCACTTAAACATTAATGTCTCTCAGGAGAACAGATGCCTTGTACCAGATTTAGCTACTGGATAATTTCCATCTGCAGCCTCTAAAACAGGCAGGCCTGGATTCACTCTCGCCTGATGAACTCCTGGAAAAATGTCCGTAGTCATCAGAGTAACAAAAAGCAGGCCTTATTTCTCTTATCCGTTATCGCAATGCGCTGTCATGGATTAGAACACCATCGCGCCGTGATTGATTGGACCTGATGTGCATTTAACACGCTTAATTGTGTCAATTAATCTAATCCTGCTGTGTCTGTGTGGTTCGGTGTTGGTTTGTGTAGCTGTTAGGTATGTTGGACATGTCGGTTCCAGTGGTGGCAAAGTTCAGGCGTCTGTTGGACAGTCTTCCCCGAGAAACTCTGCCTGATGTGGTCGCCTCGATGATCCGCACGTCTAACAAGGAGAAACTTCAGGTAAAGTGATTACTGGTCCTGTGTCAGTCAAACTTCAAACCATGTGCCTCTGAAAAGATTTCCCCTCCTCTCCTTTTGGACGTATTCCCCTTTTATTGCTTTCAACATTGAATTTCGGTCAATTTTATTCGGTGTTTTTCGCCAGAAATTACCAAAAAAAAAAATCTTATCAAAGTGGAAGCCGTTTTCTACAAAGCGATGCCAAAACACAAAATGTAAAATACCAGTTTTGTATTTTTATTTATTTGGCATCACTTTGGCATGAAAGTCTTTTTTTCTTTTTGGTAATTCTTCTGAAAGAAAGACAAATAAAATTGACCAAGATTCAACTCTCAAAAGCAATAAAAGGGGCTTTTAAAAACATATAAAACCCAAGATACGTTTCAAGAAAAGGAAAAAGAGAAACGAACAGACTGTATCAGCCAAAATTCATTCCACAAATGCAAACAATTAGGTAATAATATTGTGGAAAAGTTAATTGTTTTTTATTATTTAATCCAGGAATGTATAGTTTCATATATTACAATTTTTGAAAAGTGAAATATTTCAAGCCCTTCTGGATTGAGCCTCAGAAATATTCTAATAATATAAGATACTGGAGCTGTAACACATGATCATCGAAATTATAACCAAAAAAAAGGCTTGAAATATTTCACTTTATGTGCAATTGGGCTATAATGTATTATTTTCTCACTTTCTTAAGTAACTGATGGAAAATAATAAACTTTTTCATGATATATTAATCATTTGAGATACACATTTGTATATGTTGTGCCTGTGAAAGTTATCAAAGTTTTTACCCTTTTATTGCTTTTCAACACTGAATCATGGTCAAAAAAAGGCTCTAATGTCAAACTGTGAACACAGATTCAACTAATGCAACATATATGATGTAAAATAGTTTAATCATTTAATTTAAGGTTTATGTTTTTTATTTATTTGACATTGCTGTGTAGGCATTTTCACTTGAATGAGTCTTTTTTTGTAAAATCTCGACCATGATTCAGTGTTGGAAAAACAATAAAAGAAAACTTCCAAAGGGAAAAATAGTCTTTATAGGCACTCTATAAAAAATATACTTTATTGTATACTTGTGGTTTGAAAGAATGTTTAGGGAAGAAAGACAAAAGTCACTGTTTATGGCGTTTTGTAAAGTAATTATAGCATCTTTCCAATTATTCTACAATATTAAGATTTGCTTGGTGTCTTGATGCTGTTGCTGAATGGCATAAAAAATGACATTGGTTTAAGTTTTGGATTCTTTAAGAACTTTTTGTCACATGTTCTGTGAAGGTCCTGGATGCAGTGAGTTTGGAGGAACGTTTTAAGAAGGCCCTGCCCATGTTGACCCGACAGATCGAGGGACTAAAACTGCTGCAGAGAACCAGGAAGATGAGTCCCGATAACGAGAAGCGGGTAACTGACGTTTCTTGTTTTCGTTTAAACCACATCTACATACGTGCACCCCTCACCTCGGCGTTTGTCGTCTGTTCAGGTCTTATCGGTGCGTAAAGGTGGAGTGTTCCCGGGCCGACAGTTCAATCTGGATGAGGAGGATGAAGATGACGACGGAGACGACACCGCGGCGTTGGAGAGGAAGGTCCACGGAGCCAACATGCCCGAAGCTGCTCTCAGAGTTTGCCTGAAAGAACTCAAAAGGTGAATATTTGCCCTGAATATACCTGCATCTTCTCTTTTATTAAAACAAACATGTCATATAAACCCTACTATAGAATATATATAATATACGCTGCTGTTTTTTTTTTTTTTTTATTTGGACCATGCATTTATTAAAATCTGTTAATAAAGCTCCTTTAACAAGAAGATATATTTGGTAAAAATCCAACATTTTAGAGAGTTTTGAGTCATGTCCAGTAATATCCAGCTGGTTAGGGATAACGAAATCACATGACATTTGATTTTGCTCGTCTGTATTCAGGTTGAAGAAGATGCCTCAATCCATGCCTGAGTACGCGCTGACCAGAAACTACTTGGATCTGATGGTGGAGCTGCCGTGGAGCAAAAGCACCAAAGGTAAATAAAGCTGCAAATGATGCTTTTAGTGTCCTGAACTGTGCTGCAGTTTGCAGCAGCAGTTCCTCCATTTCTCCAGTCGTCTGGCCAGTACCGATTGGTCAGTAATCGAGCTGTTGGCATGTTTTGACATGATCATTTGAAGTTAAGTCAGTAGCCGTATAGCTTAGGCTACTCATCTACATTGTCTTTGCATTACGACCAAAGTCTCACAGTTTTGTAAAAAGACACAAGTTTTCTTCCCGTCTTTGTGCGAAGCTAAGCTAAACCTACTCTGACTTTGAGCAATTGCGGTGATAAATGTGCTCAATGTTTCAACATAATCAGCCACATGCACTGTCTGTCTGTTGGGACTCTCTGTTTTTATACTAAAATGTATACAATCTAAATTTTGTATTGATATTTATGAATTTAAATATTAGTGGTCAGTTAATATGATGGAATATATTCATTTCAGTATGTTTTTTTGTTTCAGAAATATCCTTACCTCAATAAAAACATATTGATCAATAGTTACAACTGTATTTTTTCCTAAATATATTTCAGGGGCCTCATGTACATGAACACACAGTTGATTATCACTGGACTCTTTCTAAAGTGAAGGCAAATCTCTTCAATTCTTGACTATTTGATAAAGAAAAATGTCTATTATGCCTGAGTAACTGTTTAAAATAATTAGAAATAGATTTGAT